GCCGCCGTTTCTTTTTTTTTGGCACTACGCTCTGTAGCATATTAAGGAAGCGTATATAGTGACCGTTTGATAGTGCTTGAGGTTCAAGAAGGCTTTGAATCCTGTGGAGACTTGTCCCAAATTAACATGTATTCCAGAACTTTATATTCCAGGTTATTCCAGAACCTTATATTTTTAGCCTGTCATGCAGTCAGCATGGTAATCACAAAAAGAAACTAACCGAAGAAAGTGCTCTAGAAATACATTTCTTGCAAATTACAAAAGTAAATTATTTTTAAATTAACTATAGCATTTTTTTGGAACAGTTATTTTAGTAATGGAATATGAGACTGTGGTTTTTCTATTGGTGTTGTATACCTGTATCTTTCACTTGCACTTATTGAGGGCCTGATTCAAAGTCCATTTAAATCTGTGTGTGTCTTTCCATTAACTTCAATAAGTGTTGGATCGGGCCCTGTTTAACATAGTTGATACGTAACCAGAGGCTACAATTCAAAGTGACATCATTGGTTATCAGCTGAATATGGAAAGCTACGTTTCCTTACCCCATCTGTTGACTGGTTATATTAATAAACATCATAAAAATGTCTGGCTGAAAATATATGAAACATTATTTCGGGCAGTCTTTTGTATGCGTATCAAAATATAACTTGTACTGAATATAGCTTCTTATCCAGTTATGCACTTCTATTTCATGTTTAACATGAAGATTGCAGTCTTTACACATGCTTGCCACTTTCTGATGTCATAACCTCCTCCCTCCCATGTGACAGTTTGAGTAGATTGGGAAAGGAAGACTAATAGGAAAAATCATTTATATCTCAAATATTGTGACAGGCAGCTTTAATTTTGGCAGCATGTTAGTGGTGTTCCAGATAAGGAAACAGAGTTTTGTTTACTAAAAGAAGTACCAATATTTTTTTTTTAAAAGAATGAATTCTTATTGCATCAGTCACCTTCCACCTAATGTTCCTCATTCATCAGTTAACTATCTGTGCCTCAGTTAATGATATATTGAGTTGGTCTGGGAAGAATGGTACTGGAAGGCAGAAGTAAAACAATTGTGTTTTTATATAAATTTGATTTAGTGACATTTATTTCAAAACCAGTATATTTGTTTGAACATGTTCTTAAGCTAGATGTTTTTATTTTCTACAAACACTGAATTATGATTTTGGCTGCTTGAAGCTGTTTAAAAAGAGAACCGAGCTTTGATTGCGTGAATGATAAATAAGAACAGGCTAATTGAAACAAGAAAATCATTTTAACTCTATAGAAGGGAATGAAAACCCTCTTTAAAAAAATACACTGGTGCATTTCTAATGCTTTTGTAAATAGTGTCTATGTCTGATTCATAAGATCTTATAGGTTCATGTCCTTTATAATGATGCTATAGTATGGCATTGACAGAATGTTGTGCCAATGGAGATGTCATCCTTTAGACAGGATGTTAAAATAAGATCCCTTCTGGCTGCTATTTCAAGGGAGTTGCAGATAATCCTGACACTGAGTAAAAGGCCAGGGGATTACGGTCTGTGCTATCACGGCCAAAATTCCCTTCCCGTGTAATACCACTGTAGATTAATTAGCTGCAATGTTCACAGCTATGGGTGGGATGTTGCTCACATAATGGCTGCCACATTTGCTTCTACAGTCACTTACATAAACCTTGTGTAATGTTCTCATGATTTTAGACATTTGCCAGCCAAGTGTAATAGAAGACGCTCTTTTCAAACCTTTGCAGTATGTTCAACTTTTTTTTTTTTAAATGTAAGTTGTCACGTGCATTTAATGTTCAGGTTTCTGCTTAAACAAGCTCTCTTTGGATCCATTCAATAGAAAAGTTTGTGGAACTTGGATGCTCAGGTTCTTCGTGGCATACTGTGATTGTGTGGTCAATGAGAAGCTCATATAAATGAAATGCATGCAGTCCCCCAAACTCTGTTTCCTTATCTGGAACACCACTAACATGCTACCAAAATTAAAGCTGCCTGTCACAATATTTGAGATATAAATGATCTTTCCTATTCTCTTATCTGAGAATAGTCTCATCCTTGCTGTTGTCCAGACATGTATGACCTCTTTCCACTGGTTCAGCAGGCAGCTAAGGCTTCCCACATGGAGGAATTCCTTGGTGGTCTAAAACTGATATAGCCTCCCCTGGTATTGAGGGTGTGGCTGGAGGTGAGAGAGGGTGTGTTGGAACACTGCTGCATGCCATCTGATCTTTAACTGGTGTTACGGTCTCTTGGGGGTGGTTACCAGCTGCTATAATACAGAATAGCTTTTAAGGTGCTCTGAATTGTGCTGGGGGTGGAAGTAGCTTCTGGATGGCCCCAGGGTTTGGGAAGCACAAAGAGAACACAAAGCCTACTTGCCTCACCCCCTTTCCAGGCCTATATTTGAGCACCTAAAGTTATAGGGGCTGATACTGCTGTCCCACACCAGTATACTGCAGAAGTAAGTCAGTTGTAGTCAGTGGAGTTTCAATGTTGTAGAAGTCAGGTAGGTGAGAGGAGAGAGTTCCGTCTATTAGTTGCTATTGCTGCTTTGTACATCAGTAGTTCAGGACCAAAAACTATGGACATTTAATTACTCAGATATTTCTACAAAAGTGGATTTTTCTCATGATTTTGGTGACTGCAGAAGGCTACTGATAACTAAACAGTGTAAGGTTCCAGGAGAAAGAACTATGCATACATGGGGGGACATGCACTGATGTGCCATCATTAGACATAATGATATACGGGAATATACAGCCAATAGTTTGGTATGATAAATGGCTTAGAGCTTTTGGCATCCTGTGTATGACGGCCTCTTGTCCCCTTGGGTTCCAGTCCTGTAAACTAAAGTGTGTGGGCAGGCCCTTAGCCTTGCATGAAGTCCATTGAAGTTAGTGGGAAAACTGCATTGACTTGGGGCCTTCAGTTCGTATCAGACTGAAGGATTGAGGCCAGATGTTTGCAGGGATTAGGAAGGGCTTTCAGTTCCTAAGACTTTCAGGTTGGAACTAGTTGTATGATTTGA